AAGATACGATGCGGTGGGGGTCCAGAGCAGCTCCAGAATGCGCTCCCCCATGCGCCGGTTACGCTTGTAAATGAGCTCGTCCCTGAAGTAGCGGTCGATGGTGCGGGCGGTGATGCTGTCGGCCGCGGAGGACGCCGGCACGGTCGCCCGCAGCGGCGGCACTTGGAACACGGACGGCTGCCGACGACAGAGGTCAACAAGGTCAACTGGGGGCAGTTATACTGAGGGCGCTGATACCTACCGACGATAGAGGTCAACAAGGTCAACAGGAGCATTCGGCCCCGAGACGGACGCCGGGCGACGCAGGCTGTTCGTACCGTCAAGAGCTATTTATCCCATGGCACGGACTACCGTCGAAAACAAAGGATAACGCGGGTCAGAAGGAGCAGAGCAGTACGCACTTAAGCACTTAGCTTACGCATGCCGCTACGCACCACGGCGCGGGTGAAGCTGCTACCCGCGAGCGATTCGATAACACTACGGCTACCCACACAAGTAACTACGAGTGCACATGACCAGTGAAGCACGCAACAAAGACAAGGGTCCGCAGCTGCACGAGCTGTGAAGGTAGACTTCTCGAATCAGTTGGTAGTCGACGCTAAAGGGAGTGGCGTGAGCGGTTTTTCTATTCCTGGACACGTGCATCTGCGCCTCCTAAGCCTACGGAAGCAATGTCCGCACAAAAACACGCATTGCCTGGGGATCGTGTGTCCAGCTCTCCTGCTCGTCCCGTTTGAGGCCTACTTCGTGCAGCGATGCGATTGAGCTACGGTCACCTGGCCATTTTCCTTCACCGCTCTGTGGGTCATGCCCCACGCCCACCACTTCATGTCCATTCTCCGCCCTGCCTGCAGCGGGCAGCGCACGCATGCCATCCTCAGCACCTCCCGCCTTTTTCGTGTGAGTTATGCGTAACACTTAAAGCGCATTTCAAATTGATTATCAATGATGGCCGAGTCGAGCACCGCCAGTCACGCTCCTAAATGCCAGGCGGCCACAACATCATGCATCCATTGAATTCGTTCCCCAAACGAGGGCCGCGCTCAGTGCACTCTCGCGTGATGCGTGCCCATTCAGGGTGCAGTCAAATGCCGTAGGCCGGGGCCCCGACCCCGGTCACTCGGCGACACGCAGCCGGTCTGTGGACCAGCGGCGCGGGCGGCTGGAGTCGAACGGACCACCTCGCACGGGCTGCATGGGCCAAACGAGACAGCGTTTAACGTAGCGCAGCCGCACGAGGCCTGCTGGACTGTTTCGCTGTCGGTGACGCGTCGCAGTCGCCGTTATTTGCCTCTACGGTCGCAGTACGTCACCATTGGGAAGCCCCGGAAGACCGACGACAGCCGCTGTGGTTTGTGAATGCGCCCGGAGCTCTGCTCGTTGCTGGATTCCACAGGTCTTGGCGACGTCCCTTCCCAGCCACGGGCTCGGGGGCCGGCAGTTACCACTCATTACACATCCTCGGCCACCATCACGGGCCATTATCGGAGCCATTGTGGGGTTTGCGGCGCGATGGACGGCCTCGCCTCGGTCCCTATACTGTTATCAGCTCGTTCGGACGCGTTCCAGGCATCGCCACGAACAACGGGAGCACCACTCCCACGTGTGCCGATTTTAGAGGTCAAAATCACAAGCGGGCGATCGCGAACAGCATTGGGGGTCACGTTGTGAACGCTCTGAGCATGTTTGCAGCGGATGCATGAATGGCTGGCACGTACAGTGCAGCTTTGATATTCAGCAATACGGACGGTTCCGAATGCAGGAGGCGCCAATTTACATACATTCAGTGCAGAGTCGTAGCACAAGAACTTTGGGAAGATTATCACCACAGTGCAAGGAAAAGTGGCATCCTTTATTCGAATGATTGACTGCTCCAAATGTAGGTGCCGTGTCATCCAATCATCAATCGCCACCATCGAATCGGAAGGGTTAGCAATTAAAATGAGAGGAATGCTTGCATGTTGAACTTGCGCCGCCCCCCGAAAACGTGTCATACATTTACCGTACCTCCGGTCGTTATCAGCTGAACACTACGCGAATCTGCAAGTGAACAAGTTTGAGATGCACCACACGACCGCATTGGCCAACGTTATCACAAGCGCCCGCATGCGACCACAACTGGAGTCGTGCTAGCTATACGACCAGTCGTGTACCGGATCCAGCGATACGCATGTGGATGCAAACGCTGATGGTTTCATTTGACTTTCGGCGGCAGCCCATGCCCGTACAGGTCTGTTTTGATCCGCCCGCCGAGCCGGGTTGTCTTCAGTTGATATGCCCAGGCCTGCCCGTCCCGTGGAATACATCCACAAGCGCAAATGCGTGGTGGGAAGACGAATTAAGGATGTGTGCATTAGCAAAAGCCCACATGTCTAGAGAATTTGCTTTTCGGATGCAAAAGAAAGAGGCGAGAGGCCAGTCAGGACAATAGTCTGTCGGAAATCTAGAAAAAATGGGGCAGCGATACACCCCAGTCACGAACCGCAATCGTGAGTCAAGTGGACACCAAACGAGTGCTTTTAAGCGATTCTGAGCCATCGCGCTAACCGGCATCAACTGATCATCCGCTGCTTGGAAGGCCGTTTTCTGGCCCCCGGACCTGTCGGCAGCGGAGCTCGGCGGAGATCGGGGTCTCGCGAGGGCGTCATCGATAGTCAGCACCTGACGTGACACGACACATTGACGCCTTGTGCTGACGTGACACGACACGTTGGCACGGGCGACACGCCGGCCGCCTATCTGATCATGTTGGTGGTGGCCGCAAGATTTGTCCGCGTGACGGACCCGGACGGCCGGACGGTGCCGCTCCGGAGCCGTCCGCGGAGGACTGGCGGCGGCCGAGGACACTGCCGGGGAGGACTGACGGCGGCGGAGGACACTGCCGGGGAGGACTGACGGCGGCGGAGGACACTGCTGGGGAGGACTGACGGCGGCGGAGGACACTGCCGGAAGGACTGACGGCGGCGGAGGACACTGCCGGGGAGGACTGACGGCGGCGGAGGACACTGCCGGGGAGGACTGACGGCGGCGGAGGACACTGCCGGGGAGGACTGACGGCGGCGGAGGACACTGCCGGGGAGGACTGACGGCGGCGGAGGACACTGCCGGGAAGGACTGACGGCGGCGGAGGACACTGCCGGGGAGGACTGGCGGCGGCGGAGGACACTGCCGAGGAGGACTGATGGCGACGGATGACGCTGCCGGCCTGCTCATTCTGACGCGCTTGTCGGCACCAGATCACGGTCAACGTTGTGATGAGCCCGTGTTGGGGGTCGTGGTGAAGCCGTGGTGGGGGTCACGATGAAGCCATGATGTGGGTCGTGAGGAACCCGTGGTGGGCTCATGATAAACCCGTACTGGGGGGTCGTGATGAACCTGCGGTGGGGGTCAGAACCTGCGGTGCTCTGTATGCATGCGAATCCGGTGGGGGGGGGGGCATCTGGGACGCACTGAAGTCTTATACAGTCGAACGGTAAACGACGTAGAGCCTAAGAACCTGTCGTCTGACTTCAGGCACGGAGATTTAGTACGTCCTGACATCGCGTAATCCAGAAATTGCATTTAAATCCACAGGCATTTGGTAGATTTGTAGCTCTACAAGATGCGACAGTTTAATCGCGTAATTATTTGATTTTAGGAGCCAGTGGCTTTCATCTAAGCTCGTCGATTGACATTTTCTGGCAATCGATGCATCAGCAGTGTTGTACCAAACCACGAGTCACTTTCCGTTACGAAGCGTCCCTCGATTTGCGATTTGTGCGGTCGTTTATGCGGAAGGCATTACAAATAGGCACGGAAGTTAATGGCCAGCTGTCTCAGCTGATACAGTGAGCACATTTTTCACTTGTAATCATGTTCCTTGATAACCGCAGCCTAAACATAGAAATGATGAGAATCGCTTCTGAAATGCCAGTTGATTCAGTTCATATCCATCAGTGTCCCATTCGAGCAAGGCCGCAGCTGCATAATGCTGAGGTAATGATGTTGTTCCCACACAAACAACCCACAGAATCACCCAGTTTTAAAAACTTCACGATGTATGGACTATGCCTGTCGTCTTAACGCCAGTGAGTTCATACCGAAACTGTGTCCGACGTCTATTATCCGGAAATGAGCTGTACTAACAGGAGAGTAAGAAACGAAGGCCACATTTCATTGACGACGTACTGTCGCCCATAAAAGCGAGCCTTCAATGCCATATAATTCTACCTATCACAGATCAACATTGTAACTAACAATGTTAAAGTATTAACATTGTAAAAGTATTGTCGAACTTCAAAACAATGTCAGTACGCTTTTGCTTCTAATGACTTCTTGGTTTGCTGCTAATTTTCTCCCCCTGAACGTATCAAAAACATTCACACAGCATTACACAACCCTTTCTTCGCATTTCCGACTAAATGTGCAAATTAATAATTCACCTATTGAAGAGAAAAAAGAAATTAAATACCTTGGTGTAATCATTGACAAATCTCTTAAGTTTACAAGCCACACTAATTTTGTTGCAAGCATAGTAAGTAGAAATATTGGAATAATAAGTAGGGTTAGGTACTTTATTGATAAAACAACGTCACATCTACTCTATAACACTTTGATTCTTCCTTACCTAAATTACTGCTGCTTGGTTTGGGGCATAAATTATGCTTCTCAACTAGATCGATTGGTAATTTTGCAAAAAAGGGCTGTGCGTTTTATAGAAAATGTGTATCCTCCGCAAAGCTCAGAGCCAATCTTTAAACGATACAAAATTTTGAAACTATCGGATATTGCTAAATCTCAAATGCTAATTGTGATGCACAAATTTTTAACTTCACAGCTCCCTGCATCATTCGATTAAATTTACAATCTCTACGAATCCAATGACATGGATATGAGGCGAGCAAAACATTTAGAACAACCTTTCTCTTATCGTAATTATAGACGATTTACAGCATCCTGCCTCGGCCCTAAGCTGTGAAACCACATTATGGTTCCATATTTTCCAAGAATAGCTAATATCCCTGTATCGAAAACCATCGTTAAGAACATCATCCGCAAGCATTTCGCGAACACATATTAACGTAACAAACATATTTGAAGACATTGCCATCCTTGTGCTGTACATATCCAACGCATTTCATATTTGACCTCCTTCATGTTTCATAATCAGTTTCTGATATAAAGTCATGCACATATACCCAAATTAATGGCGCTGGCTCCGGGAGTTCTCCCAGCAACAAGCTCTGCTTAGCTGGGTGGACTCCCTGGAAATCCAGCCCAAAACCCAGCACAAAAATGACCAGGTAATTGCCCCCTCCAACTTGTGACTGTATAACCCTTACTAACACCAGGAATTGAGTGGTTGTAGATTATTGGGCGGTTGTAGCGGACTGTCATTAGCTGATTTTGGCTAATGACTACTCTAAGCCTTTTCATCTATGATTTTTCCCTACCTCTCACATAACACAATTCCCTCGGGTCTGCTCCACCTCCTCGCCTGTTTTTTTTAAAAGTTTGTTTCATCTTCCTAGCTGGGAGTGCCGCAACTTGATTTTATGTTTTCTGGTGTTAACATACGGTTTACTGCGTCGCTGGGATTGAGGGAGGGGCACTCCTGGTTACCTGTTCTTGGGTAACGGCGTAGAAAAAAAAACTGACAGTGCAAAATGTCAAAAATGGACCAAGAAACACGCATATTTGGGCACCAGACACCACCGTCCTTAACAACAGCGACATGATAGGCTAATTAGTCTTCATTAACGCACAATATGCCTGAGCGAATGCATGTGATAATGATAATGTGCGTCTGCATTAATGCCGGTACACATTTATCAAATGCATACCCTATCGATATTCCTGCACCATGTGATCGCCCCATATACACACCTGCAGCTTACTGACCCTTTACGCACGCCTTCTTCTCATCTACCCAACATTTTAGCTACCATTCCTGGAAGTGGGCTGCACCACAATCTAATAAAAATATCGATTTCCGTCCGTTTCATTCCACCCGAACCTCTCTTTGTACTCATCCGAGTCTTTCGATTCCACCCGGGGCTGTTTGTATCCATTGGAGCTTGTTCAGTTCCACCCGGGTATGTTTATATCCATCCAAGTCTGTTCAGTTTCACCCGGGTCCGTTTATATCCATCCGATTTTGTTCAGTTCCACCCGTTTCCTTTCGGATCCCCACTGGGCCTTCCGTATGATAACCGAACATACCACGATGTCATCGGGATTGGTCTAGATCTGCTCGGGTCTACTCACCCGCATCTGTCAGCATCCGTCCGTGTCCATCCGTGTTCGTCCGAACCCGACCCGTCCGTACCAGCTCAGACCCATATGTACGCGGGCGCGGGGGCGCGGCCGAGCAGGCCCGGCCCGGCGACCGGCCGAGCAGGCCCGGTCCGGCCGGCCGAGCAGGCCCGGTCCGGGCCGAGCAGGCCCGGTCCGGCGCGGCCGGGAGGGCCGGTCCGGCGCCGGCCGGTCGGCGCGCTCGCGCGCGATGATCCCGTGCCACGCCTCGCCGCCCCGTCGCCTGGCTGCCGTCGACAGCGACGCGACAGCGGCGCCGTGCAATATCGCCGTCGCTGTCGACGATGTGCGTCGAAGCGTTGACAGCAGAAACAGGGACGCTGGGGGTAGCGATGACGGGCGGGGGGGGCGGGGGCGTGCGTTTCTGGGAAGTACGTAACAAGAGAGAAAACGAAGAGGCTGTTTGGGAGTCACCAGTACAGCTGATTCATACAGTCAAACTTGACGCGACCAAATGCATTAATGGCGAGGCCATACCTCTCCTCCTGCACTCAGAGAACGCCTGGTGGCATGTGTTCCCATTGATTGCCGATTTTTGTACCAATGATTTTGTCCGGGACCGGTAACGCGGCGAATGTCGTAACACATTGCAAAATTAGAGCCACTCATTCAGCGCAATGCGCTTACATTTGAAAACTTGACCAAAATTATTTTTTACGTAAATCGGTGAACGTAGGCGGCGTTTTGCCATAGGTGATCATTCGGTACCTGTCCAACAAGTCACCAGCCTGAAGTCAGCTCTGGGACTGCAGACGGTAAGCACCTCCTCACAGCGCGCGGACGCCGCCGAGCGGATGTGGGGAGGGGAGGCTCCCCTGTTTACGTACCTGGCGGCCGGCAGGGGACCCGCCTGGAACATGTCTCCACTGCGGCGGCGCGGGGGTCGTCGACGGCGACGCCCGTATACAAACACCGCGGGCCGGCGGTCGCGCGCACCCAGCGCGCACACGCGTGTGGCGTTCAGTCAGGGTCGCCCCCCCCCCCCCCCCACCGCCGCGGCCGGCTCGCTAACGCCGGTGATACAGCGACGGCGCGACGGTTCTCGCGGACATGAACATCCCGGGGAAACGTTATGGTTGCACCGCATTTACTAATGAACGCTTCCAGCATTCTTGGAGGACGTCCGGCATGAGCTGAATCTTCGAAACAGGTCCGACGCCCAGTTGTTTGAGAAACGTGGAAATCTTGCACAAAATTAGTCGGGATCCCGAACAATTGTGATGGGTTATAAAACACGGCGTGTGCCAATTTCCCGTCTCCTCTTGTGTGCGCTCCATGAGGCGCGAAGAGCAATGTGTGCGTTTTGAGTGAGTGAAGCGCGAAAACGCTGCCGAGATGTTTGCAGACCCAGAGGTCATGCATGGTGAAGAAGTCGAGATGGAGGAATGTCGCGCATGTCCCAACCATGCGCGCCTTGCATACGGACGGTATGTAGCGTTCCATACGGGTTGTATGGTCTAAGGGTGATCAGGTAACGGGATGAAATCGGCGTGTACCAAAGGATGTATGTGCCCATATCTATATGGATTATTCGGCTGATCTTGTTATCTAAATAAAGATGATCAGACACCAGCAAGATAGCCTGTGAATTTAAAAAAAATACGATTGGAAAGTAGCTCGTGAAGAATAAGGGGCAAAGCAAACAATTCAGCGTTCATATAAGCTACAAAGAACCTTGCATGGGCGATCTCATAGGCACTTAACTCCAAACAAAAACTCACCCGGCGATTCAAATCAGTTTCTTGCAAAACGAGATAGCTGAAAGCGAGCTCACCGACATCACGCCAATTTGCCTCATAAACTGCGCCGATTAGGAGGCGATAAAAAGCTGGTCAGGCCAGTGGCCGCCGGCCGGTGTTTTACGGCATGAAAAACCCGGACAGGCGATGCTGCGAGCTCATTCCGCCAGATCGCCACCAACCGGACCGCTTCAAACGGCCGCCCCTGCCGGCTGCTAATGACCGTTCCCATCTCTGGCGGCGGGAGCCGATCGGACGGCCAATTATGCCGGAATGGGCTCGGCCATACACGGGCTGGCGTAATAGACTCGTCCGCCCGGGGGGCGCGTCGAAAGTTAGTCCACGTAGCGTGCGAACCAGGCAGGCGCCGGCGGGGCGCTTCATCACGGCCAGCATCGGGACAGTCGCCGTGTACAGCTGGGTAACTGTCGGCCCCTGGGTGGGGGCTGCGCGCGCGATTCTCCGGATGAAGCATCGCGGCAATGGAGAAATGTTCCATCCGAGCCAAATTGCACGAAGCGGTGCAATACTAATTCATTCAGCAAGCAGACGAATTCCTTAATATATGTCCCTCAGGTCCAGGAGGAGGTGAGATCAAATGGCGGTGGTGGTGGCCAGTGGTGTGGGCCCTGGGAGCGAACGCCTCTTGGCGTCTTCCGTATAGTACGACACATTTAGCCTTACGAAGGGTCGTGCTTACGCGCATGGTGAGCCACCGATCGGCCCTCGTCGTACGATCACCACAAACATTAAAGCCCGCGTAATGCGGCGATACGTGTGAAGGTCTATCCGCTCTTTGTTCAGCTGTTGAAGCGGCAGATGTGACCACTATGGACATGGACTGTCTCGTATCTTATGATGTTAAATGACATGCCACCCTGTTTACTGCTATTCAGTTTGTTTCGTTCTGACAGAAAACATCTTAAAAAATATGCGTCTTCTTTCTCAGAAAATCCGCGGTAAAAGTCGGAAGTCCCAAGGTTTTGCACTGGAAAGAATGAGCACACGTCATGCGGTCTAATTTGACATGCTGTTTTTTAGTCCAAGGGTCTTGACTTCCACAACCAAGCCACATCTTTCCAAGACAACTGCAATGTTGCAAAAAGTGAAACACAAAACGGAAGTGATGGTGCACACGATTGTGTTGGCATGCATTTCGAGCCAGTGATCTTACGCATTAATGCGTGCAAAGCCTTCGCATGCTCCGTAAGCGGACCTTTTAGAGTAAATATATTTGTCCTGAGTTTTAGGCCACAACTCTATGTGATCTTAATGCACGACCATTTCCAGAATATTCGCTTAAACTAAATTTTGGAACTTGATGGCCGGAATAGCTATCAATTGCTAACGCATCGTAAATGCCTTATTGTTAGGATGGAAGAATTCATCAACTTAACCACGCAAAAACCTTCACAAGAACATCTGGGGCTTCCCACCAGTATCTGCAACTGCCTGCACCGTTCGTGGGAGTACATGGTCTCAGGAGCACCTGGTGGTGGGAGTTACTCCATGTCGGCTGGTTTCATCAGTCCCACTAAGCTGTCACAGTAAACCTTCATTACCGACGCTCACCAGAACGTACGCACAAGTCGCGATGGTAGCTATCATGCAGGATGTGGTTAGCGCGGTGACACAGTCCATGTCTCCTAAACATCTAAGTTTTGCGTCGTCACTGGGTGGATGGTGAAATTCTCCCCGGCACGTGCGATGATTCTCACCGGTATCTGGGATGAGTCGCGCCGGAAGATGACCTCGTCCAGGTCGCCGCAGTTGTAGTGTTTGATAAGGTCCTCGGTGGTGTAGGGTGGCGCCTCCTGGCCGGCCCGGATGTTCTCGTGCTGGTTCAGCGTCTGATTCAGGGCAAACACCACCTGGCGGCGGCGGAACGAACCACCGGTCACAAGACGGCCAGGTTCTCCAGCGGGGTCTCGCCCACGGTGGAGCATGAGACCGGGCCACGAGACATGCGTAACTGGAGACTACTTATCAAACAGTGGAGCACAACACAGACCACACCACACTGCACACTATTCCCCAAAGGAAGAACGCCGCACCGGGCCACAGAACACCGGGTGGTACAGCTCACCCACCGGAGAGCGCAGCACAGCGCCAGCTCGTGACCCGGGGTCAGTGCGGAGGGTTTGAGGTCATGGGCAGTCGCTATCAAGCAGCTGCAGGCACGCACGAACAGCACGAATACACAGCGTGGAGTTGGTGGACTGATGGTCGAGGTTGGCAATGTGAGTACGACTCAGAGCTTGACGATGTGGCACGGTGGTGCTGGTTCATGGTTGACTATGTAATACCTGTGAATTTGTCGTGCGTTACACACAACTCCTTGAACTCCTTGCACGGAAATATCAAGAACAATAAAATAAAGATGAGCTGGAACGGCTAAATGCTACGAAACTGGAGTCACCTCAGCTAATTAGCTTCCGCGGCGGGAAAACACCGCCAAACGTGTACAAGACGCTTGCTGCATTTTGCGAATCGTGCCACCGTTGTTATTTGCCACCAAAAACTGCCAAAAATTTACGGGAGAATAGCGTCTGCGGTGGCTAACAGGAATGTTGAACGCGGCTATACCATGTAATTGTTTACACTTGATTAGGCAAGAAAGGCCTTAAGCCACTGATTTTTCGTTGCATCGAGTCTACATGCTGAAAAGCCGACCGCCAGTACGCAGCAGGTACTAGTTACACGAATATATCATGCTATTAATGATACGTCCCGAAGTTCCAAGGCATTGATCATGGTCACGAGTGGCGTCGAACACTGCCGCGAGCTTCAAACGTCGAGTATTAATTCGAACTGTCAAGCCTGACATTTAGCATTGCACAACAGCCGTCGGTACGCAGCATAACGATGACTGCTTGGTGTCTTCATTTACCCGCAACGCCTCCTAGTACAATGACCGTCGGTCGTTTTCCGCATGAAAACTCATGATTCACAAATATTTAGAAGCACGGCGTGATTACACCCTGAGCCTGGGTAATTATATCTGTCCTCCTGCAGCCACTCACGACATGGGAAGATGACCAGGGACACGGCGGTCACGGCGCCGCTGCAGCAGAGTACGCCAGAGTACCCTGGGCCACGCACGCGATACCCGTGTGAACGTACATAGCTGCGCGGTGTCAGTCCCCTGGCTGCTGCGCACCGCAACCAACTCACGTGCTTGAGGCTAATCTGCAGCACCTTGTCTGAGGTTAGTTGCTCTTTTGGACTCAGTTCTTATCGGTGACAACGTCACTAGGCCATCACGAATTTGCTGTTTCATTTTATTCGTAAAGGCGTGGGAATTGTGACGCCGAGCTGGAGTGACAACGCGTTCATCTGTTTCTTTGCTACCTGTTTACGCCTCATTATTGATGTATTTGTATGCATATTGCCCAACGAGATGGAGCATGTGCACGGCGAAGGCAGCGCAGAGCGCACCAAGAAACAGGCGGCGCAGGCGCTGGAACACAACGCCGAGGACCGCCGCGGCGTCACCGGACGGGCGCCGGGCCGCGGAAAACTCCCGACGGCCTAACTGCTGCCGGATGTGCTGCATTAGCCAGCCGAGCACGCAGACGGCGAAGCGAGCGGTGGGGCGGAGCTCATGGCGGCGCATGCCCGCGCCGGGCTCGGCTCGACTCCCCCGGGAGCGCGGCGGCTGGCGGGCCGCTCAAAGGGTTCAAAGCGCGCCGCATGGGCCGCGACGCGTGAGGCGGCATTGTAGCAGCCAGCTCGCTCAAACGGCGGCATTGTGGCTACCAGCCCACTCAAACGGGGGCATACTGTGGCGCAGTGATGTCATACAGGTCCTGTCATGCCGTGTACCCGGCAGATGGGCGCCCACGGACTTGAATATCACCGAGGTGGATCGCGTGAGGTCCAGGAAAACTGTCCAGACGCTTATTTGATGGGGCAGTCATGGACAGGTTCAGGCACCTGATCTGATGCCAGAAACGATTACCTGGGACGCATGTGTCAAACCTCCATTCCCACTGGAAGTCAGTACTACTCGACCAAACCTTTACTAAGACGAGCATCCCGAAAAGTTGTGAATCATGCTTCATTATGCATAATAGTCGACATTATACATCATGGCTTTAAAGAACGAAAACGTCCTTCATTTTATGCGCATAGATTTCAACAATAATTAATGCGCACTTCTCGCATAGATGGCGTGCAAAACGTCTGGAACAACTGTCACGACACCTAAGGATGACTGAAAACTAAATATATCCACTGTATCAATGTGAAAAACATACAATGTCAGTGCCGCAGGATTTCATGACAAAATGTCCCGTATCTCGCATCAATCAAGCTGTAGATTCTGGAAGTTCAGTGATGCAAATTTGCCAGGAAGCCAGATGATTCGGTTTTCGTCTCGTCAGTAGCACTGCATTCGATTCTCGCTGCCCGCCACTTCTGACTCACAGTGCGTCAGACGTGCGCAACCCCTGTCGAGGCGGCGCTCCGAACCGACGCGGCCTCAGGACCCCACCGACCAAGCTGACCCGCCGCCGTCACCGCCGCCGCTGCGCCAGCCAAGTCGCCGCCCATTTCACGGTCCATTACGGCGCCGTTGGTGAACGACCGCCGGCCGGGTGGCCAGCCGGCCGCAGGCCCGGCTCCGGCAGCCACGGAGGGTGCTCGCGGTCAGGCCAGCCCGCCCGACGCCCGCCGTCGAGCCCGTCTGTTCATGCGGCCTGAGGGGGGCCGGGGTGCGACGCACACTTCCGACCGGGACTTTACGCCAGGCGATATAAGCTGCGCCGGTATCGCGGTTCGGCGGCACCGGGAGACGCGGCCTTTGCCTTCGGGCCAGCATGACAAGAGTTAGGCGAAACATGATGTTACCGCGCAAACCACAAGTTACTTTGAAATGTGCCGCCGAATTTTTAATCAATTCTTTGCTGAGTTTCACGCCTTCAATAGTTTAGTTTGGTTTTTAGTAGTTTTTAATCGGTCTTTCAGTTCGGCACGGACGCTCCATAAACAAGGGACAAAATGAGGTGAGTCGCGAACTGTATTTATCCACAGTGAACATTGGCTGTGGCTGCTCTGCGTCGACAGATCTTTGCCCCGGCGGCCTAGGCCGACCCCACCCGAGGTGTCGAAGATTCGTCTCGCATTATTCGTGGAGAACACAGAGAAGCGTCCAGAACGAAGCTGTTCACGGGCGTAGCCGCCGTGAGCCTGCAGAGTAGACGAGCTGTTCCCATCCCTGCCCTCCCCCCCCAAAAAAAACCCGGTGAAAATTGCTCCATTGGTGAGTGGTCGTAAAATATCCCGCTAACAGGCCCGTCTTCAATCATGGCCTTTTTCCTTCTGCGTTTGTTTGTTTCCAAATGAGAGTAATTTTTTGCCGTCATTCTGAAAGTAACACCTGATATAGGGTTACACAAGGTCGCCACGGAAAAGAGGCTGCTCCAAACGCCATGACCAAATCACGGCTGACACCCCTGCGACGTAAACGAGATCTGCAGTTGACAAACAGACGGGGGGAAGGGGGGGGGGGGGGTCGTGGACGTGAATCTCATTACCATGTGAGCTGTGGCGGTTCAAGCGTTTCTGTTAAAGGGTCAAAGTCTGGGTGAATGTGCACAGGCTAAAAGCATCGGCTGAAAACTAGATGGTGAGAGCAAATGTCATGAGGTGACGGTATGCACTTTTGGTTGAGGTCGAGGGAAAGGTGGGCGTTAAACCAAGGCAGCCATTGTTTAGGCAGCGATCGCTGTCAGTGATAACTCAACAGCCACCAGACAATACTGTTGGACATCATGCTTTATCCCATGACATCGTGATGCTCGAGGCACAGCCCCGCAATACATCAGCATAAACAACCCATCCTCGGACGCGGTCATGAACTCCTCACGCTCTTCAGATGGGACGGCTGTGGGACTCGGCGCCCGCAGCTACATCCCTGTGCCCTGGCTTCAACAGCCCGGGAAAACTGACGAGCCCTGCTCAACAGCCACACCTCTGACGTGTCTGGGTGCTGACAGTCGCGCCCCGTGTCGCGCCTCGGCGCCAGCGTACAGTCGTGCCCCGTGTCGCGTCTCGGTATCAGCGCACAGCCGCGCCCCGTGTCGCGCCTCGGCGTCAGCGCACAGTCGCGTCCCGTGTTTCGTCTCCGCATCAGCACACAGTCGCGCCCCGTGTCGCGCCTGCCGGCATCAGCGCACAGTCGCGTCCCGTGTCGCGCCTCGGCATCAACGCACAGTCGCGCCCCGTGTCGCGCCTCAGCATCAGCGCAGTCTCGCCCCGTGTCGCGCGCCGTGCCGTACCTCGGCATCAGCGCACAGTCGCGTCCCGTGTCGCGCCTCGGCGTCAGCGTACAGTTCCAGACCAGACGGCGACTGTTTGGTGTGGAAACACACCCAGACAGTGCGGTGAGACTGAAGACAGCCGGGACCGCGCCGGTTCGACAGAAATAGGTCTCCGACCGCGCGCTGGGCGATAAATCGACTTCAAAAACATCGTCTGCCGGGGTCCGCGAGCCGCCCCGCGCCAGAAATAGTGCGGGTCACAGCGTCCAGCCACGACAAAAATGCAAGCAGCAGCACACAAGTTTACCCCTGACATCTTCCCACACGCCGAAAAAAAATCCACCGACCAGTTATCACAGTGTAAGTAAGCCACGCGATGAAAATTCGACGTGATGTCTCGAGTATAGCGGTGACATGTTTTTGGTTTGAGCACCTGTGGCGCGGAGGTAGGAGGGCTGCTTGATTGTTTGCCTTACTGCATCGCGTTACGTCCGTGGGCGTTGAATCCCCGCCAGCTGCACCGCCGAGGGACTCACCACAACACGCGGAGGCATGCCCAGTGCTTCCATTGTTCTCTCTGCCCTAGCAGCAACAGTTATGGATCATGC